TGCAGAGACACGCCCAGGGCTGAAAACGGGGCTCTCAATAGCGAGTCAGTGGTCATCATTTTTCCCATTTTTATTTGATGACAATAAAGCCAATTCTTTAATAGGCGTCTCCTGAGCTTATCGTCTGTGCTTATCGCCTTGGATCGTTGCAAGAAAATAATACGCGCAAAGCGCTTAGAAGAGAGCCTGGTACAAATGAGCGCTCAGTAAATTCTGGCTACTAATTTTTTACAGAGGTGGCTAACTGCTAATAGGCGGCACAATCCGGGATTTGAGCTCCGGATTGTATGTCTTTAATGGCTGTAACTTTGCTCGATGATAACCCCCAAAGAATTCACAGAGCTTCACACGTTGCTTACATAGGTAAAGTAAGGTCCAGCAGGTGAAGAGTTCCCCCCTTTGTAATCGCTCACTACCAAGTCTCCTCATTCTGTTCTGCTCATTTCCCTGAAGTCTTATACCCCAACCCTGTTTCCTTGGCTTCATTCATTCATTCATTCATTCAGGTCTTGCTCTCCGGAGACTCTGTCCAGGGGCATACCACCCCAGTTAGACCCCAGTGCTTGATACATGAACATGGCACCTGCCTGCAAGGGACTCGCGTCCAAGCACCCACCTCGCCAGGGTGTTCGCTGTTCACTCCCTCAGCCTCATTTACTGAGCTCATCTTAAGAACACAGGATCTGAAGCCAGTCCCAGCTTCACCACTTAGCAGTATGACCAGGGAAAGTGACCCATCTTTTTTGTGCCTCTATTTCCTCATCTGTAAAATGGGAGGGGGGATCACCGGTTGGAAGGAGGGTTTAAGGAAGTAATCTGTCTAGAGTCTTTAGCCAGTCAAGTCTTTAGCCCTTAGGGTTTGGCCAGGAGTCTGGCCAGTGTAAACGCACTTATCGATGACTTACAATTAATCCTTCTCCCAGGAATGAATGTTGTCGTGTTCTCCATTTAACAAATGAAAAAGCGAGGCTCAGAGAAGTACAGACTCTTACCCGAGATCACACAGCTAGGAAGTATACTCAGTTTGAATCCCGGTCTCTTTGGCTCCCAAACTACAGTCAGTCCTGGGAGAGGATCGTGCCAATCGCTCAACGTGAAGAAAATTTGTAAAACCGAAGCCCGGGAGAGGGGCTTAGATGCGCGGGTGAATTTACAGACACTCCCTGCTTCCGGGGACAGCACGACCTGTCTGTCCTTCAGTCTGGGACCTTCGGTCGGTCCCGCGGCTTTGGACCCGAGCGCTAGTGGAAGCTGAGGCGGCAGCGGAGGCAGGACCGGCTGCACCGAGCCGCGGGCAAAAGCGCCATGTCCGAATTGCCCCCGCAGTGTGCTGAGCGCGACCTTTACCGGGACACGTGGGTGCGCTACCTGGGTAAGAGCGGGGCGAGGGGCGTGGCTACTCCTCCACCATGTAGGTGAGGAAACAGGGGTCGCCAGACGCCAGTCCGTGGTTTGAAGAAGGTGGGAGGGTCTTAGTTCTCATTCTGCCAGGGCCAGAGACTGGGCTCAGAAAGGGAGGACTAGGGACTTGCCCAAGGTCACACAGCTCTGGCCGACCTAGCCCTGCCTTTGGGGTCTCTGCTGGTCCAGTCTCCCAGGTGGAAGCTGAGACCTTGCTAGGAAGAAAAGGGTGAGCGGGCTTCCCTCTCTGGCATGCCCCGGGCACTTGCTGTGGAGCCGGAACCTGGACTCCTATCCCACCTCCTCACTATCTCTGTCTGAGTCTGTTTCCTCCTCAGCAAAAAAGGATGAACACAGGGCCTCTCTCATCGGGTGCTAGTTGTCAGGGTAGAATGAAATAAGGCACGGAAAGGCCTGCCACATGGTGAGTGCCTGGTTAGTGGAGCTACTTTTGGTCAGTCTCTTTTGCTGCCTATTCCCTAATTAACGCAGATGCTTCTATAACCCAGACTGGGAAGGCAAGTGAGTGGGTGATAATGGTGACTGTACTCAGCTCTCCCACAATGGAGTGGAGGTGGGCATCATGGGTGCCATTTTATAGGCCTGGAAACAGACTCGGAGAGGTAAAATCATTGTCTAAGGTCATCCAAGCTACTGCTGACCAGGCTGGGATTAGAACCAGCTCACTTCGAGTGCCCCTTGTGGAACGATCTATGGGCCCCTGAATTAAATGTCCTTTCCTGACCAGGCTACGCCAATGAGGTGGGGGAAGCCTTCCGTTCCATGGTGCCAGCAGCTGTGGTGTGGCTGAGCTATGGTGTGTCCAGCTCCTATGTACTGGCTGATGCCATTGACAAAGGCAAGAAGGCAGGAGACGTGAGTGCTAGACTGCCCCTCAACCCCCCTATCCCAGTTTACTCCCCTTGTGGTTCAGTCCACAGCCCTACATGCGATAAAGTCACTGCGGTAAAGCACGTGGGACAGTCCATTCCCCACAGCCTTGCCAGGTGCAGTCCCTACCCCAGTCCTGTTTGTAGGATAGCACACCCCGCTTCCTGCCCTGTGTATGGCATAGTTTATACCCCAGCCCTGGATGTGGATGAGTCTACCACAGCCCTAAATATGGTACAGTCCAGAACCACTAGTGTGGTCTGTGCCTGGCCACCACTTCCTACTCCTTGGTACAGTCTCATGACCCTTGTTCACAGGGTTTCCTGCCTTTGCTCCTACTGGATTAAATGTCTCTTGTGCCTACCAGGTACCAAGCCCTGAAGCAGGCCGCAGCACCAGGGTGGCTGTGGCTGTGGTAGACACCTTCGTGTGGCAGGCTCTGGCCTCTGTGGCAATCCCAGGCTTCACTATCAATCGTGTGTGTGCTGCCTCTCTCTACGTCCTTGGCACTGCCACCCGCTGGCCTCTGGCTGTTCGAAAGTGGACCACCACTGCACTGGGACTGCTGGCCATCCCCATCATCATCCACCCCATCGACAGGTGGGTGCTGCTCCCAGTCTCAGAGATCATCTACTCTGCAGGTAGAGATAAGCCCTGAGAGGCATAGAGTGTATCCATTTTGCACAGGACAATAGCAGCAGAGGCAGGGCTGGCAACTGGAGGTAGAAAGGGCAGTCTATGCTCTTGTCATATGATCTGGCAGGTACTTTGGTGGTAAAGAGCATGTGCCTGGAGGATACGGGACACAGGACAAATGAATTATCAGGAAAAAAAAAACAACTTAGTGTTACAAAACAGCCAGAGGCAAGAAGGAACAGGTGCACCCTGGAGGGGATGGGTTTGTGGAGGTTTTGGTGACAGAAGCTCAACTAAAACTGGGTTAGGTAGGTATTGTTTCATGAAATTGAAAAGTCCAGTTATGCTGCTTTCAGGCATGGCTGGATCTAGTCACCCGAATGATGCCATTAGGGGTCTGGATCTCCTCATCCTGCTGCCCTTTTCCCCACCCCATCCCATGTTGGCTTCACTCACTTTCCCCTCATGGGAGCAGAGGTGGCCCCCAGCACCTTCCAGCTTCTATCTCATCGGCTTAGCAAGCCCCATGGGAATCTTCTTAATAGTGAGAGCAAAAATCCTAAGGAAGGCTATCACTGGTCCATCTTAGACTGGGTGCCCACCCCTGAGCCAGTTTCCCTTTTCTGATTTGCCAGGCTTGGGTCATGTGACTGCTCTTAGAACCAGAGGTGGGGCCAGACCAACACAGAGTGGGAGGAGGAGTCTTTCGCTAAGGGAACATAGCTTACTTGGAGGCCCTGAGTGAGTCTTTTACTCTCTCCGTGCCTCATTTTCCCAAAATGAATAAAGAAGAGGGTAATGGCTGCCACTTGGATGGCACTTGTGCCCTGAGTCCAGGAGTCCCTTCCCAAACCCTTACCTTCTACCTCCCATTCCCCTATTAGCACCCCTTGGTTGCCTGCTCATCAACTTCCACCACCCCACAGGTCGGTGGACTTCCTCCTGGATTCCAGCCTGCGCAAGCTCTACCCCTCAGTGGAGAAGCCCAGCTCCTCTTGACTCCATCCTGGTACCTGGCCTAGGGGTTGGCGCATTCCCTGCTCTGTTTTAGCTGCCTCCTCCTGCCAGGGGATATGATGCCTGGCTCCCTAGGGTCCGAGGCCCTGGCACCTGAGTGAGTTTGAGCTGCATGGAAACTGAGAGACAAAGGCATCAAGAAACAGCAGCTATAGCAACTCACAGATGGGCAGGACCTGAACCCTGTCTGCTTCCATGGAATTCATGATACTGAGTGGGAATGGACCCTGGATGGGCCCAGCCCTGTCTTTTGACAGGAAAGTAACATCCTCCCATGGAGGATAAGGGGACTGAGGGCAAGAAATATGGCCAAGATCACTTGGCAAGCTGGGAACCCAGGCATCCCAGTGGCTCTGCTGAGTTACCCCATGGCAGCATGGCTGGCTGGAGGAGCAGCAGGCACTAGGAGAAATGTAGGAGTGCAGTAGTGGGTACCCTGAGGGCCGATCCTCTAGCTAGCCCGTCCTTGGGGCAGGGGCTGCTGGGGCCTGGCTGGAAGGCAGGGCAGCCCCAGTCCAATAAATCCTTGAGAAGCTGAGTTATCGTCTCCTTTTCTGTTGGTGACAAGCAGGGATGAGGTGGTAGAGAGCAGGGCTAGGGGCCCTCAGAGATGGAGGCTGACTCCTCAGGCCAGGGGTTGTCCCCCATCCGACTCACCCCTCCCTTGAAGGTGGGACCCAAGCAGAATCAGGACTTGGACCTTCACACTCAGCCCTGCTCTGAGCCACAAATCAGTTTGGGCCAATACTCTGGCTCCGCCCTCACAGCTCAGGTGCAGCCCAGTGGGTTGACTCCTCCTCGCCAAGAAACTACTTGCACCTGGGTGGGGGGCTGTGGGGTTGTAGGACTGCTGGTGAGACAGGATGGGGGCTCTGGGGTTGTGGCTTCTGTTTTTGGAGTGTCTGCAGCTGCAGGGGGAGTCTGGTGACTTGCCCCAGAGCTGGAGTCCCTGACGGGACATGATGGGCCTTTCTCTGCCCGCTTCCTCATCCCGCACGGGCAGGGTCCTTTTCCCAAGCCTCCATAATCTCCTCTGCCCAGTTTCCTGCTGCCCTCCAACTGCCTTAAATGCTTTGATCCCTTCCCCTTACTCCCTAGCCCTCCCTCTGCCTCTTCCCACACTCTCCAATCCAGCGCCATCTTTCCCCAGGGCCACACCCACACCTGCATCCCTGTGACATCTGGGTTCTGCCACCAGTTCCTTGCTCACATCTCTACCTTCTACCCTCTAGAGTCTCCCTAAAGCTGGGAGCTATCCAGGCCCCACCACCTTCCAAAGATTCCTCAGCCTAGATCTCTATCCCCACCACAAGTTTAGGTCCACTGTAAATGTTCAGAACCAGGAGTCTCCCTAAAGCTGGGAGCTATCCAGGCTTCTGTGCTCTTGGGCACAGTCTAGCTCTCAGCCCTGCCCCAGCCTTGTGTACCTTCCCATCACCTGCCCTCAGAGCCTCCCCACCCCCACTTTCCTCAGCTGGAAATCCTTTTCTTGGCCAACCCTGAGCTTTCTTCAAAATCAGCCCCAGTTGTTGCCCCCTCAGCTCTACCCTACTATGGGCCTCCTCTGGCCTTGGGTGCCCCACTGATGGCCTTGCTTTATAAAGAACTACTGGGGTGTAAGTGTGCAGATGTCTAGCACATAGTAGGTGCTCATACTAAGGACTTGCAGGAATTCTCAGGCCAGACTGGTGGGAATAAAGTCTGTGGACAGCCTGTCTGAGGTGGAGAGAGACTACCCCTGCCTGCCCCAAAGACACACCTTACCCCCACTGCCTGCTCCATTAGGGAGATGCAGTGGTTGGTGGGGGAACACATTGAGGGAGGTTTCTGGGGCCATTTTCTGGGTTGGACTGCCAGGGGATGGGCTCCTGCAGGAATCTAATTAGATGGACATCCTCCTGGCAGGGAGGAGGGAGCCCCGGCTCTATGCCCACCACCTTCGCCGTGCCCTCCTTGGTCTCTCTCATGTGTGGCTCTGTGGTTTTGTTGCTTTAGTCAAAGCTTGTGGCTTCATCCAACTGGTGAGGCTCATGAGGACAACACTGCCAGGAGCTGGCGGTACCTGGGAGATTCTGGGGGAAGCGAGGCAGAGCTGGGGTGTCTGGGCTGGAGAAAGGGGTAGAATCAGATCATACGGACTCACTCTGTGGCCTTAGACAAGTCACAGCCTCTCAAACCTCAACTCCTTTCTCTTAAAGAAGCAGAGGCTTGGATGGCTACAGAATTGGGTATGGTATAGACTCACCGTTTATCATCTGTGTGTTTACATGTACCCTTGACTTGTGTTGTTGCTTGCATCCTCAACAGTCCCATGAGGAGGTAGAACTAACATCCCCATTTTCCAGACAATGAAACAGGTTCAAAGGAGGGACCCCCCCTCCCACACTGCCGCATTGTCTACCACTGATGCAACTTAGCACATCATTTTCTAAAGCAAAACAGGTTTTTGAGCAAGACAAGTGACCTTAAACAGGACCTAGACAGGAAAAAGTCCCAGAAATGGCAAGTGACAATCAGGCCAAGGTCAAGCTGGGGATGTACCTATCCTGACTTCCTGCATCATCTTGGGGAGCTAGTGTTCCCCCAGATCTCCAGGAAGATGGTGGAATTCTTTTCTGATCTGGTCTATGCACCCCCACTTAGACAATCTGAGCAGTGCCCCCATTGCTGCCTTCTGCCATTGAGTCAGGTGTATAGTCAGGCTGTGAGCACTGCCCAGTGCCCTTTAGCCTACCTTTGGCCTGCCACCTGGAGGTCTCACAGGAGGAGGAAGGGTGGGCTGGGTGGGGGCTGCCCCTCCACAAAGCTGGGCAGCAGGCACTGAACTCATGAGCCCCTTGGTTGTGATCCTGAAGCAGAGCTGAGTGTGTTCACCTGGGAACCTGAATTTGGAATCCTTGGATTGTCCTGACCCCTTCTCTCCTGTTCTCATGCCTGCCCGTGCTGCCCTGGGGAACTTGTCATGGGCCTTCTGTGTTGGTTTTCTAGGGCCTCTCATGTGCCAGACTTGCATTAACCCCTATTTGCTTTTCAGCCAGCCTAGAAGTCCCCACCTTGTGCCTGGCTTCCTTGGTGACTGGCTCCCTGGCTGGGGTTAGACATCTGGACTTCAGTGTGTGACTTTGACTTGGTCCACCCCTTCCTACAGTTGGGGGACATCAGCTGAGCAGAGTCAATAACCCAAGGGGAAGAAGCTCAAGCTCAGGGGCTCCTGTGCCTATTCTGAGCTAGACCACCTCTTACGAGAGCAGGAAGAGAGAAAGGGCATGGTGGCAGGTCAGAAGGGCACTGGACTTCAAGTAACATGGTCCTGGTTTGCCTGCTTTACCCTCTTGCTGCGTGGCCTCGGGCTAGCCTTTCAGTACCTTGGCCTCATATCATCCCCATCTGGGTTTTTTCCCAGCCCAGGATGGCGCCATGCTGAAGGTTCCAGACCCAGTCAACACCAGCACCGTTTCCCTGGGCTCTGAGCTACTTGTGGAATTTTCTGTGGTCGGCAGTTCCCATTAGTCCTTACAGCTATATGTGGACAAGTTGTAACCAGCTCCAGCTAGGATCTGGAAGTGGACCCTGTGCACTATAGCCTCGTCAGGAATCATGGGTACTGGACCTAGGGAAGGGGACAGAATAGGAAGAATACTATTCAATAGGTGGTGTCTGGGGAAGGCTGGGACAGGGGCTGAGAACACTTCCGGGGCCAGATGGTATCCCCTGGGAGTTGTTGGGTTGTCCTCTCTAGGTCAGGGAGCAAGAACTGTTTACTGGCTCCTAATCTCTGAAACCCCTCTATAAAATGCGGATAGTATCAGAGGCTTCAAAGCACTATTGTGTAGATTGAATGGGGTAGTACTTAGCTCAGCGCCTGACATGCAGAATTCTGAACAAATGATGGTGTGTAGCGGTGTTGAAGCAGGGCTGGGACCAGACCCCAGCTCAGGGTTGTTCTCTCGATCCTGCTAATCTGGCCTAGGCCTTCCAGGTGCCTGGAGGATGGCAAGTATACTTGTTTCCACTTCCTGCCCTCAGAGGTTCCCAAGAGATTGAAGCGTTCCTTTCAGGCCTTTGGTTTTTATCAATACTCCTAATGTGAATGGAAGCAGGTGCTCTCAGTGTCTGGGTCCCCTCACCCCGCCACCTCCCAAAGATTCCTCAGCCTAGATCTCTATCCCCACCGCAGGTTTAGGTCCACTGTAAACTGCTGGTCTGGGACCCAAAGGTCCCATCTGATGCTACCAAAAAGGCTTGTTCCTTCCACAGGAACACAAACAGGTAAGCCACATTCACTGAAGGTATATTGTATACCCTACCCTGTAACCAGTATTTGATGTATATCACCTCACTTAATTGCCAGCCACTTCTTAAAATGTTCAGAACCAAGCCCAGAGTCCACACTCCTTACAATGACTCTCAGAGCCCTGTATGATTTGGACAACCCCACTCTTCCCCGCTACCCAACCCCCCTCTCCTGTCTCCATTCACTCCATTTTATTTCAGCCATTCTATCCTTTCTGGTTCCTTGGGTCTGGCATTTTTCTTGATTGGGCTTTCTCATACACGCTCCCTCTAATGGGGACACTCCCTTCTAGCCTTTCCCCAACTCCTTCCTGCAAGCACACCCACCGTCACCTGACTATAGCCCACTCCTCCTTCAGTTCACCCCCTCAAGGTAGCCTTTGACCCCTGAGGGCTGGCTTGAGAGACTTCTCTGGAGTCCCTTCAACCCCAACACTTCCTGCACCTTCCAACACACCTGGGAGGATGCAGCAGACCCCTGCTGGGCTGGGAGGGTAGTGTCTTTTCCCATCCCCAGGGCTTTGTCCTAGAGCATTCTGGGAGTCGGGTCCTCTAGTGGCCACCGTCATGCAATGCTCAGCATGACCACAAGGAGTCAGCATCTCCTAATGTACCCATGTTTACTGGTTCAAACTGCCTCCTGGATTATTGAGAACACTATCTGTTAGTGAATGCTCCCAGTGTGTGCCAAGTCCTGTGCTGAGCACTTTCTGTGATGTGGCTTGTTTACTTCTTACAACCACATCATGGTTAGGTCCTTGTTTCCTTGAGTTAGAGTCACTGGATCAGCTCATACAGACCCCTCTCCCCATATTCCTTGACCTTCCCACCACCTTCCCCTGCTCCCCTCAGCTCATTTCCTGCCTACTGCCTTCCAGACAGTGTCTCTCTACACAGTCAGGGGCAGAGCTGACTCAAAAGCTGTATAACCATGGGCAAGTTACTTACACTCTCTGAGCCTTGGTTTTCTCACTGTACAATTCTCTGTAATGACCTCTTGAAGCTGCTGCTAGGATTACAGGAGAAATGGCTCACAAAGCCTTTGGCCAGGGAGCTCACAGAGGAAGCCTCCACAAATATTGAGCATTATTAATTTGGCAAGAGCACTTCAAGGGCAAATGATGAGTAACTCAGAAATAAAGTATGCCAATTATAGTTAGGGATTAGACTCCTAAGATTTTATTCAGAAGAAATAATTGGATGATTATTAGATGTGCACCTGAGGGTGATCATCATGGTCTTATT